TGGTGATAGTTACCGGGCTATTGCTGCAAATATCAGTTGTGGATTTTTAATAGCATTTAGAACTTTAAAAAGAATGGATGATACCGGAACCGTTAATTTGAGGCTTCGTTCTGGTCAACTATCCTTAATTAAAGATTCGCAGCGAAGCCGGCTGAAGCAATTTGTCACAGCGAATTCAGGCTGTGATGAAGCAAATAAAGGCCTGACTAAGTACTAATTATTTAGTATCAAATGTGTAGCATATCGTATATTAATAAATAAATTAATAAATTTTTTAATAAACTTTAAAATTTTAAGTTTTACATTGAGCCAAAAAGCGTTCAGAAACTTTTGGCGGGGGTCTGTATATCAAATTTTTATTTAAAGCAATACATTATTTTTACTAATCCTGTTTGACACATTTGCTTTATTTCTAGCATTATGACTGGATTTCCTACAAACTTTGCATATATATTTTCATTTGCTTGTATTTTCATCTATATCATCAAGTGCTATATGATCATTATCTTATTCATGATTGCTAACATCATAGATGTGTAAAGGGATTCTTAATGAAGATTGTAAATTAGGATCAGGTGGATTAAGAGCACTAATTTTAATGCTATGGTATGCATTTTCTAATGCCGATTTGATACATTTATGTGGTGAATATCTACGCTGTTTTTGAACTAAAGAATCAGATACGCTCAAATTTTTTTTATTTTCATCATTCTTATTATCGATATCATTTTTCTTACAATTGATGAATCTATTAACCATATTAATAAATTCGATTTCAAAACCTAAATTCAGCATCAAATTAAGAGCTTTTTTTATCTTTTCAAACCTATATGCATATTTTTTTTTTCTTTGTATGTATTGTTTAACATCAGCTATGAATGTATCTGGTGCTCTGCTGATTAAAAATATGTAAATCAGCTACTAATAATTCGTGATTACCATTACTATCTTGTTGAAATTATATTTCTATTTTTATACATTCATATTGCAAATTATTTTGATCATCTCTATCTTGAATATCTTCTAGATACTATCACTTTGCAATAAGATGTATATTAAATTTTGCAACCTTAGAATTCATTATCACATGAAAAAAATGCGAATATACATGTCTGCAATTAATTATAGCCAAACACATGCATAAATGACTACTATCTATCAGTAAAATAATATAATGCTTATATGATTTGGTAAGACCGGTAAGTTTCTAAATTTCTATGATATTGGATAACTGGATTCTTTTCAATAGGAAAAAAATGGATGTTTGCGGTCTATATAATTGATCTTCAAGGAATCTATCACCATAGTTATACTGATTATTATCTTAATGAAAAATTTGTAAGTATCAAGTTTTCCTATCTTCTAATTTTTTAATCCCATCTCCAACATCTTTTTCGCTTTTAATATAACTTACCTTTGCAATATCGATTGCTTCTTTCAAAACAATTTTAGCACAGTATAATAAAGACCTGAGAATTTGTTGATATTAGACTGATAGGATATGTGAAGTTAGATAATATTTCATTAATTTATTAATATTAGAAAATATAAGATTGATAATTGATGGTGCCTGGTTAGTTGGAAGACTATGAAGATATGTATTATGTTGAGCCCATTTTGCTTCATTGTCTAATAATCTTTGTGTTTAATCATGTAAGTTACATAGCAAAAATGAACTATTAGCATCTTTTTTAATCAAATGATTCATAACTTCGACCCTTTGTATACTTTGAATTCCAGCTGTAAAGTTTTTGAATTGATAATACCTGGTCTATGACCGATAAGAAGTATTTAAAATTCTATTAAAATAATCTTAAGCCAAAGGATACTTTTCGATTAATCGTGTCTAATAATGATAAAAATCATCCTCAAATAAACTGTTTTAAGCATGTAAAAAATCTTTATAAAAAGATTTGTAATCTTGTTCTAATTTGCTTACCAAATTTTTTCGTAGGTTTTCTTGTATATGGAAAATACAAAGAAAGTGGTGAGTATTAGGCATTTTTGATGTTACTGCCTTCATTAAAGTAGGATCAGAATCTAAAAATAAATAAGTAGGTAGAATATGATTAGTTGCGTGAAGAACACAGTCAAAGAACCATTTATAGCTTTCAACTGTTTCATCTTCTGACAAACATTGAGCAACAAGATGACTTTTGGTGTTATTATCCACAATAATTAGCATTGTTAAATACATGTCAAACCAGTTAGTTTGATACATATTATCTGTTTGTACCATATCATTATAGCGTATAAGGCATTGATTCTGACTAGGCAACATTCAAAATAGACTTATAAGTCAATTATCAAAAGGATCAATTTTTGTGTGAATACTCCATCTGAGTTCTTGATTTTTTAAATTAAGTAACATATTGATCATATTTTGTGCATCTCTATATCAGTTAGTAAATGGGACTTTAAACCTTTGAATCGTATTATGAAGATCCCTTTTATGAATATATTGATCCAGAAAACTTGTAACCAATAAGAGATATATTTGTTTTAAACTCATATTTCCTTTGGTAACATAGAATTTGATCCTTTCTATTATATCATCTAAAAGATAATAGTACTTAGAAGTATATAAATATGTGTTAGATATTATAAGATAATTATATTGTTTAATGATGCTATTAACTTTTATTTTTGATGATGACTTCAGATTTGTAATATTAATGTGTCATGGACACATTATTTTTCTAGATGGGTGCTGCCATTGGTAATTTATATCAATCACCTAATTAGAAATTGGTTTATCGAAAAAATTGCATTTAAATGTATAATGTCAAAGTCAAACTATCCCATCATTATCAAGCTCAACGTGCTTCTGACATATAGAAAATCCTGCCATTTTTGCATATAGATTAAGTTTTATGTTTACCTCATTCTATGAAGAAAAAGTATCACCAACATTAATTTGTACTTCATTTTTAATTTCTTTTCTAGAAGTATCAGATTCTCTAACAAGAACAACGGAACCTCTGGTATCAGAATCATCCTCAAAAGCAACTGAACCTTCAGCAAATGTAGTATTAGAATCTTTTACAAAGGATATAGAACCTCCAGCAAAGGCAACAGAGCCACTAGAATTTTCAACAGAACCTTTCGTAAAAGCAGCAGACTCTTTTTTTTGCTTAAATAAGTTTGATTGTCTTCAGTAAAAAAAAAACCATAAATCATAAACTTCTATACAAAAGTCATAAGAAACAGCAAGACTTATGAGAGTTTACATTTACTATTTATAGTGGTAAAAGACGTAAATTAAAGACAAAGGACAAGGAAAAAAAGGCTTAAAATTTAGAAATTCACATCAAAGCAACTTTCTAAAGAAGTTTCTTCTTCTTAAATTGGTTTTTCCGTTATCATTAATACAAAAAGAATGTATGTTAAATTTAGAAAAGAAAAGTGAGTGAAAGAGCAGCAAATATGTAACACTTTTTTTTTATTTATCTATTATTGTATCATGTGTTATACATGCGATGTCACATAAATATTTTGTCACGTGATACCAGTGATGACCACCTTGATGATTTTAAGTAAATACCTTTTTTTAAATACATATGTTTTAAAATTTTATTATGAAAATATATTTAAAGAAAATTGATTATATATATTGTATATAATAATAATATTTAGATTATCAAATATAATTATTTTTGAATTATATTACTTATACTATTTTTACAATAAGTTATTAACTAATATTATATAAAAAAATTTATTTTATTTATTAATAAAAATAAAGTATTAATTTATTTATATAAAATACAATTTAAAAATAATAAATAAATATATAATAAAATAATAAAATAAAATTAATAAATTAATAATTAAATAAATAATATAAAAATTATTATTATAAATTATATTTATAAAAATAATACTTTATTTATTTATTTTTTCAGTAGCTTTAAAAAATCAGCATTTTATTTAAAAAATCTTTACTAAATTTTAATTTTAATTTATTTAAACTTTATTAAAATTATTAAAATTTTATATTATCAAATTTTATATTATAAATATTTTAAACTACCGTATAGTCCTGAAAATAAGCACCTTTTTTTGCTATAGGATACTTATTTTTGGGTAATTTAAAAATTATAAAATTTGGCTTCTTTAGAAGTCCAAAATAAATGCTGATTTGCGCGATATTGTGATAATTCGCAATGATCAGCATAATCGTGATTATTATGCAAATGTGAAAATATGTAATATGATATGCGTAATATTTGGTCATACTTGCTTTTAGTCACCATACACAAATATAAATAATGTCACAAAAATGCAAGCGGGTTGTCAAAAAAAGTAAAACCAAAGCAAAAATTCCTAAACGAACCTGAACTTCATACTTTATTAAACAGAAAGAAGTTGTTGTTAATTATGCAAAGAAATTCGAAAGAAATAATGTAGCAGCACATTTTAAGCTTAATGAAAGTATGGTTAGATGCTGGGTTAGAGTAAACAAAAAATGGATAGATAATGTAAGCAGAAATAGCAAATGTGTTGGTTCTGAGCGAAAGGCTTTTTTTCTTGAAGCTAAAAAAAAGCTCTATTATTGAATAATTAATCAAAGAAAATTAGGTTTAGCTATAACCTATGCTATCATCTGTGTCAAGATGTTAAAAATTATGAAAGAGTAAGATATTGTAGCTCTTTATAATGATTTGACAAATAATTTTAGGATGTCAAATTGTTGGTTATATACATTTATAAAAAGGTGGAATCTTTCTTTAAGAAGGCGTACAAAAATTAGACAAAAACTTCCAAAACAAATTGAGGAATTGTTAGAAAATTTCCATCGATTTTTTTTTCGCCTTAGGATTGAAAAATCCTATAAAATGTGTAATATCTTCAATATGGATGAGATGCCAATATAGTTTGACATAGCTAGTAATTTCACTATTAATTAAACAGATAAAAAAATGGTTCATATTCGTAGAACAGGCAATGATAAAAATCGTTTTACCGTTGTCCTCACTTATGCTGCTGGTAAGAGTTATTGTATCTATAAGTTTTTCAAAAATCAATTTTTTTTTAATTTTTTTACCATTTTTTTTATATAGATAGAAGTAAACTGCCACCAATATGTATATTTAAAGGAAAAAGGTTGAATCGTGATAAACAAATTCCTACTGGTATGGAAGTTTAGTTCTAAGATAATGGATGGATGGATACAAATCTAATGATAAAATATATCGATTATTTTAATAATAATCGATCTATAGCATCAACAATGCTTGTTTATGATTCCTTTCGAGATCACTTAGAAAAATTCATGAAAGAAAAATTTTATAATGATAATATTGATTTAGCAGTTATCTCTGGTGGCTTAACAAGTATATGCCAACCGCTTGATGTTGCCATTAATAAACCATTTAAGGATAACCTCCATAAAGAATGGCATTTATGAATGGCGGCTGGTGGTGCTGGAGTGACTTCTGTAGGAAATCTTAGGCGTACTAAATATAGTGATGTTTGTAATTGGGTAAAACATTCTTGGGAAGGTATATCTGAGGAATTCATTATTAATTCTTTTGTAAATTATTCTATAATAGATTCTTTAGATAATTTATATGACAATTATGAAGAATTAGAAATTTCCGATATTGATGATGGTAGTTATGATAATATTCATAATAATGATTAATTAGGTAGGTTTTTATAATAATTTTGTAATAGTTAATAATAATTTTCAGTTAATTTTGTATTAATTCAGCTTTATTTTCAAATAAA